TGCCGCTCGACCTGACCGGAAAAAACCGTAGCAGGAAGCTAGCGAAGTCATAGTATATATCGTCACAAACAGATATATATATATATATATATATCGTCAAATAGAACTGCCCGGTAAACCGTAGGCAGAGAGGGAGAAGAGGACAACAAACGAGGGGCTGTGACAAACTGTTTCTGCCCGGTAAACCGTAGGCAGAGAGAGAGAAGAGGACAACAAACGAGGGGCTGTGACAGTGTTTCATCGGAGTTCCACTGAACCCTCAACAGTCTGCAGAATTTGTGACGATATATAGGGTCACCAGCCCGGGCCGACCTCCATACGTACGGGCGTTCGGGGTCTCGTTCGGGCTCCAAACCCGACAGCGTTCGGCCCCCGCCAAAAAATATTTCGGGGCCTAAAAATAAGTTTTTTTTTCTGAATGTTTTTTTGTGAGTTCTCTATGACGTGAGGTACATGCCTGTGTAGTTTTAAGTCATTTAGCTAAGCCAAACAAGAATTAAAAATCGCCAAAGATGGTGGTGTCAAAACGAGCTCGCGGGCGACACGGTAGCGCTAATTCTGCGCTATGCGGTCGGCTTCGGCTGGCGGCCGCCTCGAGTTGGCGCTGAGTATGGAGAGGTGCTACGCTGAAACCACGCTTTACTCTCGTCACCTCGCCTACCCTGCTAGGTCTCCGGGCTACGGTGGACGACTTGATGCCGGGAGAAAAGTGCCATAGCTCCACCTCCTCCTTGATTGGGGGAGAGAGCGCCTTTGTGCTTAGGGACTATGGCATCCTGGCAGCCCTGCACGAACGGGATTCATCAATTTACCAAGTACACCATTTACACCAATCATCAACTACACTATCACGCGGCACTCGAAGGACTACGGGGAGGATGGCAGCAGCATCAGCACAAGCAGTGGGAGGGCTGTGATGACGGTGGGAGTGCTGTCTACAACTCCAATGGAACAGCGTGACTCACCAGACCTGGTCGAAACAATGAAGAGTATCTGGCCGAAGTTTTGGCTTGATACACTCGCCAAATCTCAGAGGAGCAGGGGAGAATGCAACACAGAACTACTGGAGGCGACCTTGCTGCGGACAGTGGGAGAGTTTGCAGCTACGGTGGGAGCGTGTCCTCAGTTTCAAATATTTTGGGCTGCTCTGAATCTGTTCATAGTTGGAGCGAGAAAAGAATCTGGTGCTCTGAATTTGTCCCTGTTAGTAGGTTAGATTCATTGATTGCGGGCAGGTAGAGATAGGACTTCGTCTGCTCTCTCATGGGATAGAGTGAAATAGCCAGGTAGGTCATTCTCTCATATTGGGTTGCTCTGTATTTGTCCATAGCTTTACGGCACATTCACGAATGTTGGAAATTTCAATCCGGTGCTCTTTATTTACCTCAGCCCCTAGGATAGATTCATTTACTCTTCACCTTTTACAGATTATACTTTGAAACAGATCTGTGGGACATCTGGCGTGTCTCTTCACCTGTCTGCCTGCCGCCAGCCAAACTACTGTTGGAGCGGGAAGAGAATCGTGATAAGGGGATTCAGAATATGCTCTGTGATGGCAATAAAAGCAGTCACGGACGGTTTTTGCCTGCGGGAAGTGGCCACTTGTGGGCTGCCGCTCTGTTACTGTTTTTTACCTCCTTTCTGTTGTGACATGTTTCTTGGCTTGAGAGAGAGAGAGAGAGGTAGAAATGGGACCGGATGCTCTCTTCTTGCTTATTTCTGCACCTCTCTTCCTGCATATAGTGACATCTCGGGATATTTTAATTTTAATTTGTCTGCTCTTTACTTCGCCCTGTCTGGGGATAGACTTTAGGGCGCATTCACCATTGTGGGAAATTTGGTCCTGAGGCGGATTAGAATCACTCATATTAGCGGGTCTGCTTTTCTTTTATGTTTTTTTTTGTTTCTCTTCCCATCTCATCTCTTCTCATCTCCTATCCTCTAAAATCGGGATTTCTTTTCGTTTTGAACTCGCACCATTGTTAAGGAACTTTTCTCTGCCTATAGCTGCAGCCTACGATCAAGACAGGGACGCAGGTTTAGGAGTCTTAGAGTGACTCAGAGGGAAACTCTTGGAACCACTAGCAGCGGCGCCACACGGAGCAGTAAGAGTGCAACGAGGGGCAGTGGGAACGCTACTGGTCAGGTGGTAAGTGAGAACCGGTGAAGAACAAATTTGAGTTGTTCCCATTGTGATCGATATGCCATGAAGATCCAAGGGAGCGTGGTGGGAAACCCGTCATGGCAGCTCGGGCTCTTTACAGGGTGTTTGGAAAGCCATAATGAGAGAGTAGCCCTGATGGAGAAGAGGGATTTTTTTGGTGTGATGATCTAGCTGGCACATGACTTTGCCTTGGCTCCCAGGTCTTTAACAGTAGATTTGGTCTTGTGGATCAGTTATCGATATTGGTGTTTTGCATTTTTGAGTGCTGTTAACGGAGGCAGTGCGGGTAGCGGCACTACGGAGGCAGTGTGGGTAGCGGCACTACGGAGGCAGTGTGAGTGCTACCGGCAGTGGTGGGAACGCTCCTTGCTTGTAGTTAGCATAAATAGGGTAGGAAGCAAACTTGAACTGTATCCACAGTGATCTTGGTCCGTTGATTGATATTGTTACTGAAGATCCAAGGGTGCGTGGTGGGAAACCCGTCTTGGCGGTTCAGGCTTCCTTGAGTTTACAGATCCGTACTTGGCCTCTTTTCCGTAAGATCTCGAAGCGAAGCTGGGTAAGGCTCCCAATGAGATTAGCAGGAATATGAATTCCTCAGTAGTTCTTG